AAAGAAAGAAAAAAGAATAAGAGCTGCCGTTGAACTAGCAGGCTCTACCCTGGTCCATTTGTGCCCTCTAGTGGCCACCAAAGGAAAAGCCATGACTTTGTCTTTAAAGTCATTTTTCATAATTTGCAAAAAATATGTATTCTGACAAGAACAATTTAAACTCACTATTGAGTTCAGTTGTTAATAAATTTCATTAAATTTTCTTAAGCAAAATAAAAACTTAGAATTCTAGACATTAAATGCTAAAACTAGATTCCTTGAACTTTGTAGGATTTATGTGATGTATGCTGCAAAGATTGTCCACTAAAGGAAAAGAGAATACTCCCCAGTCCTTATCAACATGAATCTTCATGGACACCTCTCCCATTCTTTTTGTCCTTTTCCACCAACACTTTTATGTTTACTCTGGTACGTAGAGTGGGAATGCCCCAGAAACTAAGGGCATACCAGGCCAACATACTGCCAGACCTTGGCTGGGACTAGAGTCATTCCATTCACTTACCAAGAATGCACATACAACTTTGTAATCCATTTGAATATGGATTCATCGAGATTCTGTGAAGGGTTGGTTTGTTTTCACTGTGTTTCTTTTTAAAGCTATTTATTATCCTTCCTTGAAAATGAGACACCTGCAAATAAATCTCCCCTAAATTTAAGTAATAATAGAACACCTGGAGTGCCCAGAGCTGTTGTGAGACCCTCTCTGTAGTATTATTGTAATTACTATCAACAACAATCATGATAGGTGTTACTTATTGAATTCTTAATATACCAGGCATTTTACTTTATCAACATTTTTGCTAATCCTCATACAAACACCAGCAAAATAGATATTATTAGCCCCTTCTTAGAGATAAGGAAACTGATGGTCAGAAAGAGTAACTGACTTAGCCAAGATCACACAGCTGGCAAGTGGCAGTCAGAATTGCACTCACGTGTGACTGACTACAAAGCCACCAAGCAATAGCCCTCTCATTTGTTCACTTACATGCCTGTGACTGGCCAGTCCCTGAGTCTGAGATTCTGGTGTCCCCTCAGTGCTGCCAACTCCTTAGTATCTAAAACCCTTAGGACCAAGAGCCCATAATGCAGGAGGGGACTAAATATGAGGGGCCTTAAGACAGCAAAAGGCAGCCCAGGGAGCTGGGACTGGAAGGGCCTGGGTGAGGGAGGGAACATGGCCCAGGAGGAGTCAGGACACCCTGGTCCTGACCCTGACTTGATTCCTAGCCCCAATGGGGCCTTGAGCCAGGCCCCACCATGCCCACATCCTGGTCATTGACCACCCCTGACCGGATGCCCGTGAGCCACACTTTGCTCCCTGGAAAGCCAGGGCTCAAACTGCAGGACGTTCTCTATGGTTTGCAGTTCCGAGGACTCTGGGTTTCTACCAGGAGCCACGGGGCTTCCAGGCAAATAGGATATTGTCTCTGCTGCCAAGAGCCCAGGACCCATGGGGGAGACACATGAGAGCACGAGGGCAGCTGCAGTGTGTCTCAGAAGGGACTTGCCGCCAGAGGCCTTATTGTGACCTCCAGCCCCTGTGTTGCAGTGTACCTGTCTTCCAGCCATGCCAATGCCTAGAATGCCCTCCATGCTCAAGGCCTGCTGACCTCCCACTGGACTTTCACCCAAACACTGTCCTGCCCTCTGACTCCTAGGGCGTGGATTATTGACCTGACCCTCAGTCTGGGGCTGTGGCAAGTTGGGATACTGATGCAACGCTCAGCTCCCTAGCCTGACTTGTGGACAGTGTAGGGCAGAGACCCTGTCTTACTGGAGTGGGGTGAAAAGCAGAAATGCTGTGGAATCCAGATGCAGTGCTTACAGGCCAAGAGAACTTGTCCACATGACTTCAGCGGTCTTATCTCAGTTTTCCCTTCTGTAAATAGGGCTGAGACCCTTACAGGGTTGTTGTGAAGCTTAAGTTTTGACAAACGCCCAACGTCACACCAAACCCAAAGCAGTTGCTCAGTATTTGGCGATAGATGCTGCTCCCCAGTGTCCTGCACAATCCCAGGGACATAACAGGTGTGCCATGGACATGGCTGATGGTTAAGTCATCGGGTCATCCGAGAGAGGCGGGATGCACCTGCTCGCTCCTCTAATTTTCCTATATGGAGAAATGCACTGGGCCGAGGCTGCCAAAGAGATGGGAAACGCGCATCAACTATGGGAGAGAAAAGAGGGAAGAAAGGGGGGGAGGGTGGGAGGAGAGAGAGGAGGAGGGAGGTAAGAAGATTGGTAAACAATGACTGCTTTCTCGGAGAAATTGGGAGATAGGACTGTGAACACTACGTGAACACTTCTCAGTCAGTCACAGGATTTCAGGACGGGAAAGGCAGCCTAGAGATCGCAGACCCCCTCATCGCCCAGACGAGGCCCTGGGCAGCAGGCGTTGGAGACGGGGAGGTCGTGCTAGAGTCAGGCGAAGTCTTGTTAGAGTCAGACACCGCCTGCTACATCCTGCAGGGACAGAGGGACGTCCTCCCACCCCACAGCGGCCCGATCCTTCCCTTTCTCTCCCCAAGGCTCCTCCAGCAGTGACTTTATCTCCACGGAAACCTTTGAAGCGAGTGACGGGGCGGAAGACTTGGAAAAGGAGAACAGCGCTCTCAGCGTAACTTTCTCCTGCGTCTTTCATCTTCCCGGCCTTCCCTTTCCTCCGCTCCTCCCGCCTGCCCTCCTCTCGTCCAGTCCCTCTCTGCCTCCTTGTCATGATCCTCACCCACAAGGACCTGGCCTAAGCCAGCAAGCGGGGGTCCCGGGACCCTCAGGTGGCTCAAGCCTCCCCTGCCCGCACGTCCGCACAGCGCGGTGTCCCCAGCAGTGCGCTGGTTTCTGGTCTTAACCGGGGGTCCCGTGGGGACCCCGAGTGGCCCTAGTGGGGACCCCGAGTGGCCCTAGTGGGAGACTAGGGTGGGTCCCACTGTGCCCCACCCCCACCCCACCTTGCCAGGAGGGGTCACTCTGCCAGGCCTGAGCCCTCCCTCCACTGTTAACGGGTGTGTCCCCTGCGGGGACCCCGAGTGGCCTAGGTGGGAGACTGGGGTGGGCCCCACTTTGCCCCACCCTCATCCCACCCTGCCAACGGGGGTCACCCTGCCGGGCCTGGGTCCTCCCCCACTGCTAACTCTGAGGGTGCGCTCCATCCTTTCCCTTCCAGCTGGCCGGACTTTTCCAGTCGGACGACAGTGATGAAACCTGTCCCTCCACCAGGGTTTTGCAGGAGCCGGGAGAAAACGCCCAGAGGAAAGGCAGTGCGGAGGAAACGTGAGTGCTCGGGGGAGCGGAAAGCCCGCCACTCTGCTGGCCGCTGCGCCTCTGACTGTCTTCTTGGAATTTCAGGGCGTCCAGCGGCACCAAGGAGCAAGCCAGCGGGTCCCCGGGCGTGCTGGCTCTGGCGGGGGACACGGCGGGTCCCCGGGCAGAGGCTGTGCCAGCGAGGGCGGGATACCGGAGGACCTCCTCCCTGCAGAACTGACCCTCCTCCTCGGCTCGACGGGACGCGGGGTGCAGTCTGCGTCCCAGGGAGAGGCCGCGGCGGGCGCCGAGGGACGCCCTCCCCGACCGCGTTTGGCCCGCGGAGCCGCTTCTGCTGGCCGCGGGGCTCCTGAAGGCGCCCGCAGAGGAGCACAGAGCCCACGCCCGGAGGGCTCAGCTCGGGGCAGGATCTCAACCTCTGCCCTTTTTGCACCTGGGGCCGAGCGGTTCTTTGCGGCAGGGGCCTTCCTTGCTTTTGAAGGTGGGTTAGACGCCTCCCTGGCCTCTACCCACTAGGTGTAAGTAATGTGCCACCCCCTATTTCCCGCCTCCAAATTGTGACAATCAAAAATGCCTTCAGACATTCCCAGATTTCTCTGGGGCTAGCAGGGGAGTCAATTGAGAACCACTTAGCCTGACCCTTGGAGGCGTCTGAGCCCCTCAGCTCCTCCAGGGTCTCTGGCCCAGGAGCTGTGCCCCCCGTCCCAGGTCTCCGGGAGGATGACAAGATGGTGCCTGTGTTCGTGGTATGAGTGTTTCAATTCCGAGACGGTTGGTTCCAAGTTAATTTCTGAGATATTTACGTACAAATTTATTAGTTTTTAAATTAATTTTATTTTCACTTTTTTATTTTTAGTTTTATTAGTTAATTTTGATTTATTTTTAGCTTTCTAGTTACTTAACTCTATAGCTTTACTTACTGATTTATAATTATTTTATTTTCCAGTTTATTTAATTTTTCAACTATTCGTTTTCAGTTATTTATGTGTATTTTGTTTTAGGAATTTTATACTTTAAAATGAATTCATTACAAGTTATTTTTAATGGCCTATCATTACAATTATTATCTCAGTTACTTATTTTCATAGGTATTCCATTTTCAGTTATTGAAAGTTTTGAGCTATTTACTTTTACCTTTATTTATTTGACTATTAAAAATTTACTGGAAGTGTTTGAATTAGTGTAGAGTTATTTATTTTCAGAGTGAAATGTTTGTTACTTTAAGGGGTTTCCCTCTAGTTTTAGAGTTGCTATGTTCACAGGTATTTTTTATAGGTATTTTATATCCTAAATTGTTTAATGTTATATCCATTTTTTTTTTTTAGTTATTTGGTTTTTAATTCTTACTTTGAGAGTTAATTCATTTCTTAACATTATATTTTCTGGACTTTTTTTTCAGAGTTTTTGAGATGTTTAGTATTTTTATTATTTTCAGAGTCACTTGTTCTCAGTTATTTTCAATATATCTTTGCCATTGAAAATTTTTCTGTAATTTATTTTTATTTATTGCACTTTTAGATTTACTTTCAAAGTTATTTAGAGTTAGAATTAGTGTATCAATCAGGGTTCAATCAGGGAACACTGTATCTTATTTTAATAGAGAGAATTTAATATAAAGAATTATGACCCAACTATTACAGAACCAAAAAGGCAGAAAAAAAGGTGGTGTTGAGATATGATGGAGATTTCAACTGCAAGAAGCAGCTACTATGCCCAGAGACAAGGGAACAAAGAGATAGGAAGTATCAGAAGCTTGCAGGTGGCCACAAGGCTTGGGGTTAATCCGCGGAGGAGGAGGTGGCTCAGGGGATTGGCTGAGGGTCACTCTGAGGAGGGATCTAACCAGGCCGGCTGGTGTCTCTGAGGGGAGCATTGTGAGGCTACTTACAGGAGTGTTGTGAAAATGGCAACTGTGAACACCTTGCTGCCAGGGGAGCCAACCATCACTCTCAGGGTGAAGACTAGGAGAATGCTGGCCGGAGCCCAGGTACACGGGAAGGAGTGTGGCCTGGCCTGCCCTGCAAAGCAGAGAGTGGAGGAGTGGGCTGGAAGATGAGAAATCATGGTTCATAGCCAGCACATTTGACATTAGAATTAATTTTAGAGTTGTTTTGGAATTGCTAAGGGTGATTCTCACTTAAAATCATGGGATCTGGCTGAGTCTTCTCTGATTTGTTTCTGGAAAACAGTGGGCCAACAAACACCTGAGAGGAATTTCTCTCATAAGACTCAAGAAAATCATTTTAGAATTCAAGAAAAAAAAAATCATGTCTCACTTTGTTCATAAAAATGCTTTGAGTGAGTGGCCAAAAGAGGGCAGAGATGATTCTGGAGGGGCTCCTCCAGACAATTGTCTAGCACTGTTCTTTGAAATTTTTCAGAGCTTTAAACTCTTTGTGGGGCCACCTTCTCCCATTCCCTTTCCTAACAACAAAGTATCTTTCTTGATAGAGTGTGTTTCAAATTTGTAGACTATTTGCACAATAAAATAAAGTTCTTTTCAAATCTATAATCTGTAACCTTAGATTCTTCTTCCTGCATTGTCAAGCCATGTTATCCGACTTGACCATAAGAATGTGCATGTATGTGTGTATTTACTCCCTCAGCACCTATTTCCTGAGCACTCATCTGTCCTAAGGAAGGTGCTGGCACCAGGCAAGACCACGAAGGCTTGAAGATAATTGAGAAACTCTTAGTCCATTGGAGACAGACATAGAAACGTAATCACAACACTATGTGACAAATACACTTGGGGCACAGAACACTGTGAGTGACCCATCCTGATGTGGTCAAGGGTGGGGGGATGATGTCAGAGAGGGTCTTATGGAGCAAGTGTTTTCTCCAGGTGGAGATGGGCACCTGCCTGGGGGATAGCATGTGCTCAGGCACAGGGGAAGGAGCCATGCGTGGCAAAAGGATGAGCTGACAGGGCTGCTGGGCCACAGTGTTCAGAAAGACACTGACCGTAAAGGCTGGGCCTGGCGCTTGCCAGCTCCCACTCATGCATGTTCCCCATCCCCACCCGGCAGGGCTGGACACGGAAGCACAGAACCAGCAGAGATTCCAGGGACACTGCCTCATTTCGTTCTCTGCCTGCAGTGTTCTTCCCTCAAGATAATCCCATGACTCACTCCCTCACCTTCCCCAGGGCTTTGTTCCAATGTCACTGCTTTAGTAAGGACTGTAGTAGACGGAATACCATGGTTATAAGAACACTGCCTGGTTCTTGAGGGGGCAGGACAATCTCCTGGCTAGTAAGGAGCTGTTTTGTAGCCTGGAGACAAGCCCTCCAGCAACTGAGTGGTCTAAGGGGATAAGATTGGTGGCTCCTTAGTGAGCCGGTGTTGGGCCTTGAACATTTGTGGTGCAGAAGGGTGAGAGTAGAACCCAGGGAAAGAGCTTGTAGTAATCCTTAAGCACGTTGTTCAGGCTCCCCACACCTGTTGTATAGCGTTTCAATAAATATAGGCTGCAGAGGTAGCTCGGGGCATTCCTGCAGCCACATTGGAGGTTACTGGGTGGCTTGGCTCTCCTGCACCTCTGGGGAGTCTCACCTCTTGCAACCTTGTACATTCATCAGTCCACTTACCGGCTGTTCCCTGCAGCGCTGGCGACAATAAACACAAGGAAGATGAAGGAGGAGTGCTTCTCTCCATCCAGGTCTCAGGAACATTTGTGGAGATTCTGTTACGTAGGCATAATTTTTTTTTTTTTTTTTTTGAGACAGAGTCTCACTATGTCCCCCTTGTCAGGGTGCCATGGCATCACAGATCACAGCAACCTCAAACTCTACTGTTTAAGTGATTCTCTTGCTTCAGCCTCCCGAGTAGCTGGGACTACAGGCGCCCGCCACAACTCCCGGCTTTTGTTGTTGTTGTCCTGGCTGGGTTTGAACCTCCAGTCCCAGTATATGTGGCCAGCAACTTAGCCACTGAGTTACAGGCACCCAGCCAACGTGGGCATGATTGATAAAAATCACTGGCCATTGGTGGTTGAACTCACCCCTCCGGCACTTCTTCCCTCCTTAAAGATCAGGGAGTTGGACTGAGACTTACCACAGCCCCCATCCTGAAGCTGTCTTGGGTGCTGCTGCTCGTCCCCAACAAAAGTCACCTCATTATCTTACGTTCTGGTGTGATTAAAAGGGGCTTGTTAGCCAAGTGACGGAGGGAGACTCTGTCTGGAAAAATAGGGGAAGGCTTGTTATGAACAGTAAAAGCACTCTTACCACCTCTATCACTTAAGAAATTCCAAAGGTTTTAGAAGCTCCTGTGTCAGGACTCTCAGACTAAGACCAAAGATTATGATAAAAGGCGCTCCTATCACTTAGAAAATTATAAGGATTTAGGAGCTGTATGCCAAGAACCTGGATTGAAGATCAAATATATATTTACTGTATTTCAATATTGCATCCTTATCATCCTACTTATTCCTGTAAGGTCAATAATGATGTCTCCTTAATAATTATCAGTATTAGTGATTTGGGGGATTTTTTTCTTTATTTGTTTTTAGGGATGGAGTCTCACTGTGTTGCCCAGGCTGGCCTCAAACTTCTGTGCTCCAGAGATCCTCCTGTCTGAGCCTCCCGAGTAGCTGGGACTACATGTGTATACCACTGTACCCAGATGATATTTGAGTTTTTATCACTTCTCCCCACCCCATGTTAATCGAGCATTCATCTGTCCTATTGGTCCTTTCAAAGAACCAATTTGCAGTTAGAGGAAGGGGAAGACCCAACTTTTGGTTTTATTGATTTTTCTCTATAACTTTTATATTCTCAATTTTGTTTAATTCCATTCTAATCTCTTTTTTTTT